TCTCTCTTGCTTTCGCTACCCACCAGTGTTCGCGATCATTGCGTAGACTTCTTGTCAGCTTGTGCTTAAGCTGACTCCGCTCTTCGTCATGTTGAGATCCAGATGGTATGAGTTTTCGAGCATTTATCAGTGCGGTTGATGTTGCTGAGATCCAGTGTTTCTCCCTAACCTTACGGTTTACCGTACTAGTAGATGTCACTGCTGTTTCCACAGCTTTTCGGATATCATTCCATGCTGCCTCGGGGTGGGCATCACCTACATGGCTGCCTAACTGTTTTTCTAGTTGTTCCTGAAATATACTCTTAGTTTGACTATCATTAAGTAGGCCCCTAAGAGGTTTCCTTGCAGCGTCTTTCTTGCGTCCAGTCAGACACAGGCAAATACGCGCTCGCCCTAGAGCATGATCTGAATCTAGGCATGTGCTCCAGAATGAGCGACAGTCTTCTATCGAGCCCGTCCATCGGTGGTTGATAGCGATGTGACCTGAAAATGAAGTCGGATTAATGCCGGCCTTAACGACCTGGGAGCGTGACCGCAGAGCCCAGGAGACAACTGCTTGAGGCCGGTCGCGCACGGCCTTTTTGTGGGAGGTTTTTGACGTGTTAGCTCCGTTCTTCAAATGGCCCAACCACCGGAGACAGAAATCCATGAGGTAAGGTGAGGTGTGACATTTTAAGGTCGACCTTTTCCAACCCCTTTCTTCCTTGTGAGAAGGCCGCATCGCTGCAGATGCTGGTTGTCCGAGAGAAACAACTTACTGCTGTCACACCGCTCTACAGTCAGCAATACGACTTCGCCCTTCGACCTTGAGTTGCTGCTTTTAGTCTTACCGTTCTCCAATCGACCTGCCTGTCATGGTAGAACCTACATGAAATATGTTCCAGCCAATATAGCTCGGTTGGGTCATCACGATAGGCAAGCCCGACCACTGCGTCAAGGTAGCAGCTATGGTCGAGTGTCAAAGTTATGAATGGTCTGGAAATACAGCTGCATGTTCATTTGTTATCACATGTGTAACTTTTAGTGATTAGTAGTGCATTTGAACTTATCTTGAAGTATAAACATGGTTGCACATATCACCTTACGTCAGTCCATAATGAAGATAGATAATCTTCAAATCATTTCCCTTTACTTAGTACCACTTAAATGTGAACCCTACCATGAAATTAGTTTCAATATGAAATTTATCCTCAGTCAAATTAATCAACATACTTTATTAGTTACACGACAGATAATAGTCCTACCTACCCCTGTTTAAACCGATATTGATTGGTGAATCGGCTTGGTTGAAGTGTTTATAATCAGTGTACCATTACTAAACATTGCTGAATACTGATTTGCAAAGTGTTAACTAATACGAATAATTTAAATTAAAATGGAGACATGAACTTGAGTGGATTTCTGTGTTTTAGTACTATATCCTTATATAAAATTTTTCCTTTATATATTACACCATTGAGTTTACTGCTTCTATGAATCAGGTGTTCGTCTTGCTGTGCTAATGAGATATGGCAACTTGGACCGATGCATGTATGTGCCTGGTCCTACGTTGTAACTGACTGACTTTTAGTATGCAGCCTTGTTTTGAAGGATTTTCACATGAATTGAATTATTTGATCGTAATGGCGCTGTCCTGTCACGGGTATAAATTCTGAAGTAAAAATAACGACTGTACCAGTTGCTCCGGCTTTTTATGTAATATTAAGTGTTGTTGCTATTTTAATATCATCTTGAGCACATTTTTTATGGGTTATATGCATAAGCGTCCATAAATCACTCTGGCCTCATATTGCACCATGTATCAATCAAGTGCATATTTTGTTTAATAAGCAAAGGAACTAAGATCATCAATACCATTTAACAATATTTAGGCTACACTACACTTATCCTCTTGAGAATACTTGTCATTTATAGTATAATGGATCATTGAAAGTATCGCCAAATATCTTTATGAACTTGCTTCTTCCTTTGTGAATGCTAAGCACCATTTCTATTGATGCCACCTCTATACTGGCTGTGTTCGCCTAAATTTATTGCTAGGAGTGGGATAATAGTAATTGGTCATCTACAAAGTCTAAGGTGTTCACTGTATTCCGTGCATCCCCAGATATGTTATGGTCTTCATAGTGCAGTCAGCAGCTGGAAAAAAAGAAGAAAAACGAGAGTAACCAGTCTTGTCTGACACTGGTCTTCACTTGAAATACATCTGTGAGCTACCCTCCCTGCACAATTTCGCAATTCAGTACTTCGTATGAGTTCCGTATAAAAATGAAAATCTCCTCAGGCACTCCATATTTTTGAAAAAATCCACTCTTTCGTATCCTTTCTCATAATCAAGGAAGTTACTGTACAGCGATGAGTTCCATTCGATTGATTGTTCAACATTGAGTTGTACTATCTCGATTCGGCCCGTACGTAATCGATACTTATAAAAGTCTTCACGCTGGTCTCTAGGTTGAGTTACTACTGAATCCTTCGCTCGTTTCAGTTACGCTCTGTTGCAAACTTTGCCTGGCTTTGACAATGGTGTAACCCCTTTGTGGGAAGCATCGTGTGCTTCATGACCATAATAAGACAACACCTTTTTTAAAGTTTGTCTTTTCTACCCAGACTATATTCAATGGGTTTCGCTTCTTCCAAATACAGCCAGATTGTTTCCGTTTCTCACATTGTTCAAACATTCCACGTTCATTTATTCGTCATTGTTTTCGGTTGTCAGAAAAAGCGTCGGCATCTTGGCTTTCGAAAAATCTCGACTTCCCTAATTCGACACTATAAATCTTCTATATGAAGACTCATCAAGTCACAGCTGAAGGTCTAATTAGTTTTCTGTGGTTGGCGTTCTTTTCAGTAGACTTATTTTTCACAAGGTAGATTCGTTAAGCTTACGGTCAACTGTGGTTCTAAAGGACCGGGACTAGCTCTATGCGGACTTACTTATACTCAGTATCATTAAATATTTTGGATAATTTCAGTTGCTTGATTGATATTTTTATTTGTTCATCTTTTTTTCTTTAGAATAGTCCGTTTACTACGGATGACGAATTTAAAAATGTTGAAGCTGAATGCAGTTTACCTTTTACGGTAGTGACTGATATTAATGTGAGTACATGTGTAATGTTCACTCTCCTCTTCATCGCCTATCATATTAATCTGGATAGCCAGGATTTTTTTGTACTGTCGATATATTGTAGAATATGGGTACAAACCTAGGTAGAGATAGTTGACATGGTTTGGCTTTTATCTAGAAAACCAATAAGCAAACTGAACAACTGTTTTTTCTTAGTATGTAATCTTTAAGTAGTGTACATATATTATACTTTCAAGAATCAAATCTTGGAACTTCAACTCGTAGCAAGTATTTAATCTTTAGGAGTTGATGAATTCAGTTAGTTTTAATCGATGTAGACTCAAATACAGATTCGCTTTGGTCCACGTTTTCCTACTAAATCAACACTGTGACAAAATTAAGTCGATAAATAGCTAAGTAATTGATATCATAGTAGTGATAATGATAGTATGAATGACAACATGTTCGACATATGATTCTCAAAGGAGGAACATATGGAGGAACACTGAAAATAAAGATGGAAAGGAAGATAAGTAGTAAGTGCATCTGTGCCACTGTATTGAACTTTACACCATATCACCCTGTTCTTCCAACCATTGGTCACGATAATCACGCAGGCCCCGACTACTGACTCCCTTTAGGCGAGATGTTGGTCAGTAGAGTAGTAGGCTAGAAGAATACCAACTCTCCACATGGAAATGAGGGAGCAATTTCTGAAGCTATTGGCTGTTGGGTTAAACTGGTTCAGACTAACTGATCGAGGTCCGTGCGATTATGTTGACCAGTGGTTGGTGATTGGGTGATGTGCCTCAGAATTGGTTGTAATAAAGCGAATACTTTTACTGCTTGTTTTCTCTGAGATCTTAATTTTTAAAGTTGTCATATGGTTTTTCATTCATTCTATCTATTTATTCTTTCTTCTCTGGTCACTTTTCCCAAGGGTTTGATTTATTTCTGTCACTATTACTACCATTTCTACTACTTGGATTTTCCTTTGTAATTTCAACCTGAACCGAGCACATGTGTGCCGGGTCCTCCTCTACATATGACTGATTGGTCGACAATCTGTTAGTCTGTGTTCATTAACATGGTTCACTCCAACAGTTAGTGATTTCACGGTCTAATTCCAATTCTTTTTTTGATTATCTTCAGCCTTCTTCGGTATTCATGTAGGATCCATGCAAAAGGTTAAAAAAACTTATTTCAAACTAGTAGTCCAAATAAACTTCACAATCCTGAGGATCGAATGGCTCATAAAATCGTCCTGGGTATCATAGAATTACGTCTCCTGACTTTTCTTCCCTGCCTTGTAGATTAGGCCTCCAGGTCGATAGGTTGACGACGCTCCTTAATAAAACATTCTTTGATCAGTAACTGAATCCACTTGCGAATACGATCGTGAATACTTATGATGGATTTGGTGATATACATTTTCCATTTTACTACTAACACAATAGATAGTTTATATCCATTTAATTGAAGTGCTTTTTCTCATTCAATGTTAGTTCTTATTTCCCAGCTCATATGGCAGCTTGCTTATGATAAAATTTCTAAACAAACTCAAACTACTGACCGGTCTAAATTTTCACTGTTCTCACCGAACATGGATTTCCAATAGGATTTTATGAAAGTGACAACGGATTACAGCCCGGATGTGACTAAGGATGAGTTTTACTTCGAATTAGATGATCTCAAAAAAGCGTATTTGATGGTTACTATAGTGTTGACCGGAGATTTAAATGCACAGGACGGGTCTCTAGTTAAATAAAAGTCGCTTCGGTTGCTATTGGTGGCTTGTTAATTATCAGGTCAGATAACAGTAATCTCCAGTTGCAGCTGTGCACTGACTCAACCCTTTCCTGATCAGCACCAACTTGCGGCACCGTTTTAGTCGATGTCTTTACCTTGAGGTGTCATCCCAGCCTGAACATAGATTGGTTACATCACGACCGGCTATCACTGGCATATCTGTGTACGAAACGCACACTCCTAAAGTGCCTATCTCTATTGGTTGTTGTTTAATTCTCACCAAGCTCATCTTGTGCTTTGGTGGCCAGTCAATGTCTCATCCTAAACGGATCGGTATACTAAAATGAGCCTCTGCTTCAGTTTCAACCAATTACCAAGACGAGTCAGGTTCAACACTAGTAGTTAGTCTACCAAATAGTATATGAGCCATAACTAGAAAGAAATCTGTTTAGGGTGGTCTAAGGCGTTACCTGAATTAGCTGATGATAGAAGCCAATAGCATTTCTACTGTAGTTTTTTATTGAGTTCTTCATAAGAGTCATGGAAATGTTTATCTAAGAGAATTCTAAAGCAATTAGTCCCTTTTATAAATTTCGATAGAACAATGAGAAGACGGATTTAATCTGAAAAACGTGATGTATTTGCTCTATACATTCGAACAATCTGGTCACACATATACTTGTCAGGGCATTTTTTTATATGAAAATTAATAAAGGTCAATTAAATGAAAGTCCAAGTGAAAGAGTAACAAAGGGGGAGAGAAAGAATAAGAAATTGTAATAATAGGTATTCTCGATGGCTGCTTTCAATCTCTGTCTTAAAACTATGCTGTTGGATTCGCTTCTATATGGTAGATTGATATAAACTTTTTTTCTTTGGAACTGAATAAATTAGAGGTCTTGGCATCAACTGACTTTTGCGCTTTTGCTAATAATGTATCAGTCAGTAACTTTTCATCTTTTTTCACCATGCCAGAGGTACAAATTCTATGAGCCTCTAAATTCCCTGGTACGGCCGAGAGTGGGGAGAGTCCGCTCTCCCTCTCGAAATGCTCTCACATGGCCACGCGTATATAGCTTCTGCCAGAGAAGTCCTACTCACTGCCTTCTCGTGGCAGGGGTGTTGCCTACGAAAATGAGAGGACGAGAAGCGAACGTCCGGCACTTTAACCGGATTCCAAATCAATGGTGCACATTGGCTCCAGTATCCTGAAAGAAACAAATGGCGTATGGACCAATTGTTGGTCACGGGCTTCCATGGGACTGCATCTCCTTACGATGCTCCAGTGCCTTCTGGATCAGACATTCAGGTCGAAGGCTCAAGGTGTGGCGCCTTAGGGGAGCCACCTGCTTCGGTTCGGGCACCCGGGCAGTATCACAGCCCTCACACATATTGTCTCTTTGATTGAAATCAGGTATACATATATCGTACATATTCTATCTCTTTATGATTCTGACGTGAGCTATTTCATACTTCCTGTAAGTTTAATCATAACTGTCAACCATTTACTCTTGACATGGAAACGTGAATTGAGATGTGATAAAAAGTGTGTTCTGGGTGGGCAATTCAAGAGTGAGTTCACTTTACAGTTTAATGCCGAAGTATTTACTTAACAATATTTGTACATATTCATAGTTATTAAATAAATTCATTTTTATTTCCATTAATCAGTCAAAATCTAATGCAGATTCACATACACATCGATGTAAATGCCGAGGGACATGTCAAGCACGGTGTAGTTGTAGACGTTCTGGTCGTCCGTGTGTCCCATTGCGTTGTTACTGCATTTCTGGTGTATGCAAAAACCGTTTAGATTCATCATCACAAGACAGTCAAATAGTTATGGGACCACCATCTGGATTACCCGTTATATTACGTCCAAAACGTAAAACTCGTGCATTACAATTAAATAAAATCTCCAACTGACAATTCACAACTATATGACGGTGGGTCACTTCGTTATTTATGGCCTAAAAATCGTTTATCTTATTTTCCCAGTCCACTATTGCGTTCAGACAGATAAACGTTTTCTACCGGCCAAAAATCTCCCAGAAATGTACTTCACCATCCTGTCTACATTGGTTTCCTTTCTTAGTTTAGAACACTTGTACGTGGTTTCTGTGTGTGGACGCTATTATTTTATCTCTTTCCCCTTCTTCTATGCAGTTTATATATATATTTGTTGCTTACGATAGAACCAGTAGGATAACATTAATTTGTGTGTTGTGTTTTGCTTCTTTATTTTTCACAATCGTAGTCCATTTCATTTTAGCTTCGATATCGTTTCCTATTTTTCTCCGGAACATATTTACTCGACATCACCTAGCCAAAACGGGGAGTCGACAAGCTACGTCCTCCGTTTATCTGGTGACTAGATGGCTAGTTCTCGTGGACTGAGGGGTGTGTTGACCTGACACTGAGTACGAGGGCACATCAAGCACTATTAGAAAGGATCCCCGTTGACAGTCGCCTGTGTGCTGTTCGCCTAAACTTCCCCGTAAGAACTTGCAAATATAGAGAAATACGCTGTTGTCTTTTTGTCATTTCTGCCTGCATTCCAACTGACTGCAGCCTGGTTGAATTAAAAGATGACTTTTACAGAAAGCTTTCTGAACTTCTTTGAAAAGCTGAACACTTAGATATAGTACTCGTAGCAAGTGACTTTTATGCCCAGGTATGTTGCTTCAACCAATCGGAAAGACATTTAGGTGAGTATTTTGGTATTCCGGCTCAGAGAACCGATGGTGGTGACCGTCTGTTGCAACTACGCTTAGACAGTCGTTTACTTCTAACAAGCACTAATTCAAGCATAAGGAGGGACATCCTCTAGCATGGAGTCCCCCTACATTAAACCAACTATAAACTCGAATAGATCATATTTCGATTAGTCATCGTTGGAGAAACTCGATAGAAGATTGCCGCTCGTTATGAACTCTGATTGTGCAGTATTAGGAGCTATTCAGACTAATAAAAGAAACCGGACAATCGCTGGAAAAGACGACACGCTTGTCTGCCGTCAGTCCAGAAGTTTAGGAAGATCAGCGGAACACTAAAGAACAATTCAACTGACCTTCACCTACCCACGATTCTCAAACAGCCCGAAAGGAATATTGAAACAGGCCCATGAGACTGACGAAAGTTTAAAAAGCTTTGGCTAATCTGAAACAAGTAGGAGCAGATGGATTAATTCCTATGGGCTTTAAGAGTGCTGGTTCAGTTTTAGAGATTAGGTTGACTAATAATAGCTAGAATCTAGGAACTGGACGTAATCCCATCTGAATGGTCCCAATATATAAGAAGGGGTCAAGATCATATTGTGATAGCCACAAAGGGATTGGTTTGACTAAAATAGCATCTAAAATACTAGCCTCAGTAATTATCGGGCGCCTAACCTAGTACACAAGTATGCTTGTCGGCGTCCGATAATGGTCGTCTTTGTTGACTTGGTAGCAACATTTGACTCTGTAAACCGAGAGTTACTTTGACAATGTCCGTCATTGAAAGGTGTATCTCCGAAGTACATAAACCTTGTGAAGGCTCTTTACTCAAACACTATCAGTCGAGTGAGAGCTTATAGCGAACTGTCATCTGAATTTGCGACCTCAAATGGTATCCTTCAAGGCTGTCCACAGTCTCCATTTTTGTTGAACTTAATCACAGACCTACTGCTGGGAATGACGTTCTCGTCGACTGAATTCTCCTGCATTGATCTGTTTCCAGAAGTTATACTCATCGACTTAGAAAACTCAGATAATATAGTTCTGTTTGGTGAAGACGCTGATAAAGTGCGGAGTCTTTTGGTAGCATTGAGCAACAATACGAGGACGTTTGGGATATGTTTCTTCCCCTCTAAATGTAAGTTGTTGCTTCTGGACTGGGCTGTGTAAACAACTGAATTACGGAATGGGAGTGAAATAGTCGATCGTTATTTGTTAACGATCGTTCCTCTTGAAGGACAGCCGGTTTTATATACCATTCTATTGAATTGTAAGTTGTTAGTTGCGTATTTTGTATTTTTCTTGGTCAATTTTTTTGCTATATTTACTATACTACTAATCGCTACCCTGGTAACCTTTTTATTTTATTTCATTTTTATTGATTTTAAAATGTTTATACTCCTCCCCTATCACATAATTCTTAGACCACACTATTATTCACACATTCCCACCACCTGATCCTCTTAAATTATCTTAACTTTTCAAATCCCATCTAATTATTATTACGCAACCTATCTTATGATTATTCAATTCCATTATTACACCAACCAACTCGAATTAACTTCTTTTGACCTCTGACCTGCTCTAGCATATATATATAGTTTTTATTGTAACCCAGTTATATAACTTGGTGAAATGTCTAGATGGCAGGAACAGGTAGCCCAGATGCTTAAGCAGGCTGCCTTGTTATCATGCTTAATCAAATCGAATAGGCTCGTCTACCTTCACTGCGTCGCTTCGTTTTTCATTACTCCAACGATATCCTCCGCTTTTCTCTCTCTTTTATTGAAGACGTGTTTAGTTGTGCATGTAATTCACTGTTGTTGTCTTCTAATAAAAATAATTTGAAGGTATATTTACAAGAGAGAGGGACGGAAATAAATCGATTTGACTTCTTTCTCCTTGAAAAACACTAAACCTATTAGTTCCGTGATCGTCATGCAGATTGCTTCATGGCACATTGCGTGATTATTATTATTTTTATTATTATCATCATCAATAATACTTCTACTAACTATAATAATAATTATTATTATCATTAATTGTCTCATTTTGTACACTTTTAGAAAGATATTGGTGATTCCGATTATTTAAATATATTTCATCGGATTGTTCTTCCCTTGGCTTATGAGGTAAATGTAGCATATCTTTTTCTCTTTATCATGACCAATTAACGCGGTTTAACGAATAAACTGAAAGCAACACAAGATTTGTGCATATGTTTACGGATATTTACTCGAAAGTACTCGTTTACTTTACACAATATATTGATATTAATTTGTTCAATGGAATGTTTATATTGTCATCTTTTAAAATAGACAACTATTTCTGTCCAAGTTGGAAGATTTTTTATTTCTCAGCAGTTTGCATCACCGTGACATTTAAATCTTGTAGAGAAAAGCAATACTTCTAGTCTCTTAAATTTAATGGTTCCTATATCTATCTTTAATCGATTTGCTATAGGTAGCGTGTCAGATTCACCAGGATAACTCAACTGAGATCTATTGAAGTCGAAAAACTATTGGCTTCTCAGAATATATATGTAATAGTTATACAGTAAATGATCATTTTCGGGTCACGAATACGTACCATTGAGGTGTCCCATACCATGAAAACACAGCTGTTTACTGCCTTTCGATTTTCAATAGTTGTTTAAGTTGAGTCTGTGATGCTATTCTTTCAAACTTAATAATCTCTACAAACCCTGTTTACCTAAATGAATATTAATTTGGTCAGTTTCCTCTCATGTGAAAGTTTTTCAAGCTGCATGTTCATTTGTTATCACATGTATAACTTTTAGTGATTACTAGTGCATTCGAACGGTTGCACATATCACCTTACTACTTGTTTGATATTCAAACATCTTAGAGTATCAGTGAATTCAAAAAGAATTTAAGTTTGTCCATAATGAAGTTAGATACTCTTTCTGTTGTTGCCGTTCTTTTCAGTAAACGTATTTATCATAAGGAAGAATGCAGTCTACCTTTACGGTAGTGACCGATATTGATGTAAGTACATGTGTAGTGGCTAGGTCTTCCTTTGCAGTCGCTATGTACACGTGGTCATCTGAAAGCACTTCGTGAGAGAGAGAGCGTATTCAGCCCATGCTCCATCGTACATGGGTATTTCAATGGTACACATGACTCCTTATCATAAATACTACACTCTGATTGCACAAACAAAACATATGGCATCTGTCCATGAAATCACTCACAATAAAAATAAGTCATGTTTGTACGTGTAGACTGCCTGGTTGGGGTCTGCGTGATCATCGAAATCAGTGGTTACAGACTTCGAATGACATGGCTCAGAATCATTTGTTTCTGCCACAGCTTCATTCGTTCTTCGGTTTCATCAAAATTCTGAGCTTCTGAATTGCTCATAGTGTCCTTGGCTTTCATTTTACTGATTTATATTTTCCTGAATCGTATCTTCGATGCCTAGTCTGTAGTGTCTAGTACTATTTCACACCAACACGAGTTGTTCTAGCTTTCAGACAAACCGTTTAATTTATTCTTCCTACATCACATTTTGACCTTTTCAATTATTAACTCAGCAATCCTGACTGATTTCAATTGAGCGTGTGTGTGTGTGCGTTGCTCACCCTATTCATCACATGGCTTCAACTTATTCTTGTCTGGCTGGTTTCGAACCCGAGCTTATATATATATATATATTGAATAAATAAATAAACTTGTCATAATGACTAACAAAAAAGAGGAGGTAGGGAACAGGTATTTTGTTGTGTGCTACTGATTTCGACAAATACAAGTAGTATTTATCATTAATCGAAGGTAAAACGGCTGGAGGCAGAATGTTAAGTCCACTTTTTGGTCCAACACGCGTTGCGATGTGAGAGCGTCTGGAGAAGGACAGCGGACTCTCCCCACTCTCGGCCTTACCAGGACATTATTATCAAACTCACATGGGTTATTCTAGCTTTCTGACAGACCTCTTTATTCATTCTTTTCATGTCAGATTTTATAATGAGCGTGTGTGTACATTACTTACCCTATCCATCACATGTCTTCAACTTATTCTTGTCTGGGTATAGATACTTAATCATTATTATTATTATAAGCTTTATTCAATATTATATTTTTGGTACAATATAGAATTCTCAGCGCAAAGTATTTCAACAAATTTCTGTTTCTTTCTTCTTGGTCGGTCCTGACGATATATATTGAGTGATCGCCAGTTAGATGTTAGCAGTACAGTAAATGAACATTCTTTTCGTTGTACATTGCCAGCAACCACATTGTCACTTATTGAGCTTTCTGTATTTTTTGACAACGAAAGGTTGTATGTATCAGTATCAAAAACCATTACGTGTGACTTTACTGATGCAAGTTTGTTTTCCTTGTTTCAGGGCAACAGAAAGTGAACGTACTAGAAGGAGAAGAACAAAGCTTGCGCAAATTAAACCTGCGGGATAATGAGTAAAACCATTTTGTAATGGACTTCCCTTTTTTGTACTTAAACCGCGTAATTCAATTTTAAATATATATCTCTGTTGTGCACGTACGCCGTGTTCTCACTTGAGTAGCATCTGTCGGTCCTGACTGTTGTGTTGTGTTTTAGATCGCTCCTGCTTGCAGATAAACGCTAATAGTACGTGCTACATGTACACTTTTCAGAAAGGCACCAGGATAGCTTATGCGATTAATAGACATAATGATATATTAGAACAAACAAAAATAGATAACTTGGTGAAATGTCTAGATGGCAGGAACAGGTAGCCCAGATGCTCGAGCAGGCCTACTTGTTATCATGCTTAATCAAATCGAATAGGCTCGTCTACCTTCACTGCGTCGCTTCGTTTTTCATTACTCCAACGACCAGTTCAATATGGCCGAGCACATCGAAATATATCAATCAATGAGAGCACACTACGTTTACAAATAAAGGGAAGAATCATACGATCGAAATTAATTGTTCATAATTGATGTAATACACAAATCTGGTATATTATGATCATCATCTACTGACATCAGTGACAGCTCTCTCACTCTTGACATAATTCAACTATACCAATTATATCACATATCCATTAGAACGTGGAAAATTCCATTTCAATAACACATAGGCATGACTTGCTACGAGATCATGCCCCAACTAACTTTGACTGTGAGCATAGTGTAATAAGTGCCCAATTTTCTCTGTTTTGACACGATGTGAGGTTTAGTCATAGGTATACTAAAATCTAGTCATAGTTTAGTCATTCCTAGTTCTCCTCCAAACTGCTCCTTTACCAGCAAACATTGCAGATCACAGTATGAAATGGTTGAGCACACTTAATACATATCCCAATTAACTCAGTCGATCAAGATTCACAATTCCATCAACTGATTTGTCATCTCTACCTCACTGTTGCTTACTCGTCAGTCCTAACATGCACGAGAAATGTCTTGAAGGTATACATGACTTACTTTAATTACGCCTGTTACTCCTCGCGAAGGAGCATAGGTCGCTAATCACCTACGAACATCTATTCCTAAAGACCACGTTCCTCAATCATAGAGTGGAAATGAACAAACTAAGCGGTAGTGAACTCGTTCTTTGGTAGGCAAACGAACACTGGAAATGAAGTTTGATATAATTCTTAGTGAGAAAGATGTTTCAAAAAGAAGAACTACTTTATTCAGCTTAATCTCAAGAGGTGGCAAAAAGAAATATGATCCATGTGCAAAGTGTGTCAAGTCAAATCGACAACCACAAGTTTCAATTAAAGTCAGTTATAGTAGCACGATTACAATGAACGATCATTACATCTTACCAGTTTGCTAAGTAGCCATTGTAAAAACAACTTAAACATTTTCTGTTTGTCTTACACTTCTATCTAGATCACTTGTAGAGATTTCCCGTATTTAAAATAAGTGTATGAAGTAGGTCCAATAACTATATTTTTAGTTGAAAGGGTTTTGTAGAGATCAGTTTAATTTTTGTGTTGATCTTGGTTGCGGCTCCTCTGGAAACCAGGAAGCATTATACATCTGTTTCGTCCTCATATGGGTCTTTTCGCCAGTGTACACCGATGATTCCTCAAGAATACATCTTTGTTCCGTGACTTCCGGTTAGTCACCTGGTTTAACTCACAGCCGCACCATCGTTTTCATCATTTTCTTTTGAAGTGCTTGTCTGATGTTCATTGGTTGAAGGAAGTGTTTTGGATGTCCTAGATTCTAGGGCTCGTGGTATTTGTCAGCCACCAGAAACGGCGTATATACTATCTTCCTGTAACTATCATCATACCATCACAATTTGAAAGTTTATCACTGAATTAGTCGGTCTCTATTGTCTCTAATCAGTTAACATTATAAAGTACATTACTATGTCCAGCTATTTGGGCTAGTATTCTTATTCCAATCTAATTATTAATGGATTACGGTTATTTATTAAAGACTAAGCAAACATAATATTGGCTACTATGCTAGTTTCGTTAACTAACAGTTTTCTGTCCATTGATTCTGTTTTCATTCTTTCTCAGTATGATCCGGAATTAGTACTTGTTTCCGCTGGATATGATTCTTCATTTGTCTGTCCTGTGGTAAGTAAGCACTTTTAGTGGCCCGTGGATCTGACTCCAAGATCGTATAAATGTTTGCTATCGTCTATTCTCGTATATAATCGTCGACTTAAATCGCGTCAGTCAATAACGGAATTAAATAAGTCGAATAACGAGAACTGATTTGTGAATATATATATTTTGTTTATGAAGCGATTGAAAGAAAGCAAAACAAAATGACACGCAGGGAAGATGGCTGGGAAGCCAACTCCATTTTAGTCAAGCGTTACTCAATATTTATAGTCAGACAAAATAAAGCTACAGACATGTGATTGATAGGATAGGAAGGGCACACACATATACGCTCATATAAAAACAGTCTAGATTGATAAGCGAATAAATAACAAGGTCAATGTATGGCTCAAGTAAAGTGAATAGAATGGGATGTCCGAAAGCTTGAATAAGGTATATCGGCTTGGCATAATAACAGACACTACACAATCCATTAACATATTAAGGACTTTTATTAGTAATACTATTATTATTATTATTATTATCTTATGGTAGTTCCTCTCTATGAAACTAATAACTGCTTTACTCATATCCCCTTCATTTATAAACGGCGTGAGACATCTGACCTAAATATGACGAATGTACATATTACTACTATCGAGTCTTTTTGAAGATTCAAGTGATATACAAAGTTTCGAAATCGGTACATGCAATTTCTTATTTGACAACTGTAGTAATCATGACAACAATTATTGATACAAGTCAGATATTCAGATGTTAAAAATACAACCTTAAAGGTAGCAAATCATTCAAATAGTTAGTCACTAACTAAATTACAACAGATATTATGAATTAAAATACAGTACATATCTGTATTGACCAGTTTTTAGAAATTATCAACGGACACTAAACAGTATGCCTACAAAATCAATAAAGTAACATATAAGATTATTGGCACATTACAATAGGTAAATGTAACATGTCACAAGTTCGTAAAATGCTTGGACATATCATCATAAACTAAGTAAGTATATTGTTGGGCACAAAAATAAGCAAACAAGAAAGAGACTGAAGAACAGAGATTTGACAACTGTTGTTGTGATGAACGGTGTTCAAAATCTGATATTATTACACAGTGTACTAACCCCCCACCCCTAACTGACTACTTGAGCGACAAAGTGTATTTGACTACAGAATAAAATGCACAAATACTCATTCATATGTATACCACTCTAATTTCAAGTAAATTCGTCCAATTCTTAGCCAATGAAGTGCACTTGTCCGCAACGTCACTTCTGATTGCCATCGATTGATCTTCTAATTAGGCTACTTCTGATTGTCATTATGACAAGTTTATTTATTTATTCAATATATATATATATATATATATATATATATATATATATGTATATAAGCTCGGGTTCGAAACTACTCTCTGAAAATCTATGTATTTTATTGTATATTGTTGACAATGTTTTCAATTTCTTGCACAGTTTTCATCCTTGTCGTGCACACTATTCTATGGTACCATAAAATAAGAAGTAAAATTTCTGTGTTCATGTTGCTTGGACTGCTGTTAGTTCATAGAATAAAGCATTACTTTCGAAAAAATTGTTTATTTTATTTTATTGGAACATATAAATATTGGTACATTGGCAACTCTAATATTTATACGCCATACAAATTAGTTATCATTGAATTCGTATATGGGCTGGAATACTGTTTGATTGCCTGAACCAAAGCAGATTGTTTTCCTAGAGGGCCACTCCCCAAGTCTTTGATCTAGAGATTCAATCCATAAGGTGGTGGAGTAGGGTTGTGAAATGTGGTTCCATGGTAGCTGGTGACTAAGAATAGGTTCAAACACAATTGATTCCCTCAGGATACTGGAGTTCATTCACAACATTGGTTTTGAATCAGAGTTTTCCAATTTCTGTAGGTGAATACTCTTTATTCAACAACCCGATTGAAGTGCTGTACATTTGCCTGTCGTCTTTTCATTTTCATAAAAACAACCCTCGCCGTAAGAAGGTCTTGAGTGGGAGTAGAAAATAATACTATTAATTTACTTCATAGCTTTCTTTAAATTATTTGTGCTTTGAATGAATGAAAGGTAGTTCCAGTTCCTATCATTCGATTGTGAATTCATTTTAATTTGCTTATATTACTGTCACTTGTTATTGTTGTTGTTAAACTTTTTGTCGTCATTGGTTTTTCAAGGGTGGTTCTTATCTGAATACTTTAAGTGAATCAATTGGTCATACTTTTTCTGCTCTATTAGATGATCCAATGAAACCAATCAATCCAAGGTTAGTTTTCATATTATATTGATAATAGTACTCTATCAGTCATTTAGTCAGTCGCAACGTAAAACCTTGTACATATGTATATCGGTTCAAGTTGCAACACTTCATTTGCACTGCAAGATGAAATTGTTAGAGCGGATCTCAGAGTAGTAGGAGTAGTTACAGTAACAGTGGTAACAGAAAAGACTTAGTGGCCTATTGGTCTGACTCCAATTTGGTCGAACGATGATGTTAATGAAATATACATCCAACCTACCCTCTCATATAATTATCGACTTAAGTCGCGTTACAGAATAACAGAATAAATCAAATAAGAGAATGAAGTTTGACAAGGTATATTTTATACACTGGTTATCCGAGACAGACAATAAGAGAAACGAGGTGGTGAAGCAGACTGGGGAATGCAAGTGCGCCAACACAATTTGATCAAGTATGATTCAATATCTATAGCCAGACGAAAATAAGTTGAAGCCATGTGATGAATAGGGTGAGCAACGCACACACACACGCTCAATTGAAATCAGTCAGGATTGCTGAGTTAATAATTGAAAAGGTCAAAATGTGATGTAGGAAGAATAAATTAAACGGTTTGTCTGAAAGCTAGAACAACTCGTGTTGGTGTGAAATAGTACTAGACACTACAGACTAGGCATCGAAGATACGATTCAGGAAAATATAAATCAGTAAAATAAAGCCAAGGACACTATGAGTAGTTCAGAAGCTTAGAATTTTGATGAAACCGAAGAACGAATGAAGCTGTGGCACAAACAAATGATTCTGAGCCATGTCATTCGAAGTTTGTAACCACTGATTTCGATGATCATGCAGACCCCAACCAGGCAGTCTACACGTACAAACATGATTTATTTTTATTGTGAGTGATTTCATGGACAGATGCTATATGTTTTGTTTGTGCACCCTCATCTTTGTTTCATCCTATTCTTACACCAGACAACATGTCCTGTTGAGGCAGACAGTGGTTAAGTACACGTTACGCATGTCTCAACCACCTCAGTTGATAAAAATTTACCACCCCATCAGTCGACTTGTCATCCTTACCTAGACAATATGGTGATAATTTAGTACGGGGATTGTCCAGTAGTTAAAGCATTCAACTCTCAGTCTGTCAATCACGGGTTTCAACCCAATTTTTGGGGCATCTAGTTAGTATTTTCAACACTTATACACTTAAATTATTCATTAAAACCAAGTACACTAATATGTACCTGACATGTACAAGATATATTCCTAGGTGAAAATGACAAACTGGTTGATGAGGTTGTAGATCTTCGTAGAATTAATTGGCTAAGATATATCCTGTTTGCGCCCCAACAACAGGCAATCTGGCGTAGAAAAAAACCGGGCGAAAATTGCTCGAAGTTAAATAAAAATTTGGAATTAGTCCGTGAAATCAGGAACCGTCGTTCCTGACTTGTCTAAATTTCTGAGGGAGACTAATTATTTACAATTCTTTAAACGATGTTGGCTATTGATCTGAGCTGTTTATGAAGAGGTGGATTTCGTTATTTTATTGAACGTGAGACAATTTCATTCATTAGATGAAGATCTTAAATGACACTGATCAAGATCGACGTTACTGTCTCTCAGTTCAATCTGTAGTATTACGGCGGCCTGCTTGAGCTTTTGGGCTACCTGTTCCTGCCATCTAGATATTTCAACAAGTTATCTATTTTTGTTTGTTTTAATATATCATCATGTTTATTAACCACATAACCTATTCTGCTGCGTTTCTGAAAAGTGTACAACCTTTCGTTGTCAAAGTTACAAAAAACTCAATAAGAGACAATGTGGTTGCTGGCAATATACAGCGAAAAGAATGTACATTATTCAGATGTTCATTTAGTGAACTGCTAACATCTAAGCGGCTATCACTCAATATTTATCGCCAGGACCGACCAAGAAGAAAGAAACGGAAACTTGTTGAAATACTTTGCGCTGAGAATTCTATATTGTACCAAAAATATAATATTGAATAAAGATGATGATAATAATAATAAATAATAAAATATCCTTATTTCACGAATTCATTTTTTCTTTTCACACCATATTCTCTGTGTTTGAACGTTTCTTTTATTACTATTGATATTACTATCCCTGTTTTCTTCAATTCGATCTTCTCAATCTTCTACTGCTAACCATTCCACTTCTAATTAGTGTTACATACTACTTATAATTCTTGATATAAGTAGCATCGACCACACATCAATCTGTAGTTGTTATTCAAATCACCTTGAAAGGATCTATTTATCTATTCAGCTCCTACAATGTATTATTATATTTGATAGTTATATACATGTTTTATATCTTCTGATCAAGTATGTCAATTCACGTCAACATCATTAATAACTTACTTACAATGTTAGACAGCTTCCAAGTTAGATACCTGTTTAAAGCAGAATTGTATGATGCATGACATTAAATGTGAATTTATCTCATATCTGTAAGTGAATAAAATGCTTGGAACAAAGTTAAAAATTTAAAAGGCGTTGGTAAGAAACAATTAGAATCAGCAAATTCAAAATATATAATAATCCTATATTCAAAACTGACGAAAGTGTACTCAGTGAATGAATCTGTGTCACTGTGACTGTCTGTCATATAATTTCCTCAAATATTGGACACGATTGTATTCCAGCTTTCAAATTCATAGTCAATATGTTTTTACACTGTTTATAGTAAGAGTCAATGACTCTATAGGTGGAGGGTAATGTCGTATAACATATATGTACATTATCCAGGTTAGCACTACGGCGTAGGTGTTGTCTGAATTGTTCATGTTGTATATAAAACTCCGTTGACGAAGATCTAACTTGAATATATATTTAACACTCTATGCCTAATATTAAGATTACCAAATTAATGGTTCAGAGAAACTTGACCAATTATCTGAAAATAACTATAAGTAAATACTTGTAGCCTCCAAATACCCTGGTTGGGCCAACAATGGGGAGTGTCGTCTCTCTTTCTCGAAGTGCTCTCAAGTGGTCATGTGCATACAATCACTGACATGGAAGTCCTACCCACTTCCTTCTCGCAGCATTACTGTTGTTCAAGAAATCGAGTGGATGAAAAGCAAATATCCGGCACTATAATAAAGTCAGTGGATATTGAAAATCCATCTAGGGGATCTGGAAAGCCTGATTCCAAACGACTGGTGAACATGGGCTCCAGGATCTTGAAGGAACAAATGGTATATGAACGTATTGTTGGTCACCGGTTACCATGGGACTGCCTCTCCTAACGTTGCTCTACTGCATTGTAGATTAGACCTTTAGGGCAAAGGCTCAGAGTGCGCACCCCCCAAGAGAATCACCTGTTTCGATTTTGGTACTCTCACAGAAATTGTGTCATCTATATGAAGCATATATGTTTGACATTTTCTTGTATCAATGTTTATGTGTTTAAACAAATTAGTAAAATAAATAAGTAGTAGTATCAGTAGTTCTCATTCTAAAAGTTCTCTTCTCACTGGAATAAATAAATATGTACTTTATGGTAAATGACTTAAAATTATTCAAATGAACGAAAGAAACCCACCTCATTATAATGCGTAAAGATTAGGCTCAACAGTTAGGTCTCAATCTATTGGTGAATGAGTAACCTTCAAGTTAATTTCCATTAATTCTTTATGATATTTTGATTATGTTTATTTTATGCCCATATTTAGTATGTAAAGCATGTTGTTTTATTACATAATATACCTATTCTTTTAGCTTAGTGGTCTTATCTTTGATATCGAATCATTTTGGGGCTCAAATCAATAAGACATTTTCGTGAATCGGTATTACTCGATCACATTTCATTTCATTGCATCCATCGATCGATAAGCATTCTATTCACTGATTTTCACAATCCAATCAAAGCACTGAAAACCTCCTGCATAACACACTCAATAAATCATGGGCAATTGAGAGTTCCAATTTCCAACCATTACATAATAACAATGACTAATGGAACATGTAATCAATAAAATCATAAGAAAAATCCCAAATAGAATCATTGTTGTATAAGAGTCTAGTAGCATAGCTGAGAGAATGTCAAGAAGATCAGCATAACTGTTGACAATCCAAAGAGAAGAAAATCAAGCTCGTTTTTCCGTAGTTCTCAAGGCAATATCCTGCACCCATCCGACTTATATTATACTAACATCTTGAATTATATGGCTATGTAGAGCTGAAGGTCTGATATGAGACTGGAGATTCGCCGTTCGTATTGCGGATGGTTCGGCATTGCTTTGGCAAGTTTTGCTGACTGTTCATATGCAAAATTGGTTTGCTGGTTAACCGAATTCATTCATATCATATCAATATAATCAGATGTCCTAACTAACGAGATACAAATCATTTGAGGAAGTAGTGAAACTTCATCTGTTGAGATAGTTGGGACACGTGCTACGTATGCTCAATCATCGACTGCCCAGACGAACGATGATTCATGGTGTACGAGTAGGTTGGAAGAAAGCTAGAGGCGGCCAGTCCAAAACATGGCACAAATCTCCGAAGTCATTGACAAGTAAACTGAGCCATGTTGGTAAGTGTAGACTAACTGCTTGGGATCCACGAGATGATAGCAACCGATGGTTAGAGACCTTGAGTGACGTGGCTCAAAACCGTTTGCAATGGTGTGCACAGGTACATCAACTGTTTGTGTTCTCCCAACTTCTAGTCTTCTGAATTTTTCATGTCCCTTTATTCTTTTCTCTTTCCGAATTTATTTCACTGCATTTTACTCCTTGAACAACGTGTTCAAACCCTAATGTTTCCTATTACTGATTATAATTTTACTATCTCTACTACTATGGTATTTGAATGGATAGCTGTATCTCTGTGTTAATGTGGTATGGTAAATCGAACTGATGTACGTATGTACGAAGTTCTATGTTGTGGTTGACTGACTGACTGGATCTATCATAAATAATGTAATGTAGTAGTAGTATGAATGATAATGAGGAAGACAAGGAATTAAAGGATATGATATGAAACAAATATATGAACAGAGGAAAATCATAAGTTGTAGTTACAAGTTGTTAGTGTACAATATGCTTTTTAATTTGATATATATTCTGGTGTTGAAGGACTAGTGTTTGTCAAAAGTTCCATTGTGTATCTCGAGTGATTTGAAATGTGTAAGCTATTTATTATTTACTTGACATAAATTCCAATTAAATTATCTAGAATCTTCCACTCAACCCATGCTCCTTTATTCACTTACTCAATTTATCATATTATTGGAATGATAGAGTAAGGAATACTGAGGTTAGATATAGGATACTAAGTAAAATGTCAACTTCATTGATGTATCTATGAATCTTAATCAACTGAGGTGGTTAGATTTGTTTTACACACCCACCACCCACATCGATGTTGAATATCTGCTGCAATAATTTAATATTGGAACTTATGGGAGGTCATAAAAGGATTGACTATTGTTCTAAGCTATGTCACTAGATCTTTACCACCTGATTGCAGTTCACGCAATTATCATGGCTAAATTGGTTAAATAGACTAGCTGATATAGTTCATGATCGGTCATAACGGAGCGGACACATTGACTATTTTGCTTCTTCCAGATTATGAATTTCAGTATTCCTTCATCTACATCTTATTCTGTTTTCTTGATCTGTGTTCCCAATCTTTCCCATTATCATTGATATCATTATTATTTAGTTTCATTCAATATTCTTTTTGTCAATTTTATCTCTTCATTCTTATGTGATATTAACGATATGAACTAAAATTCACTTATATGTTAAGGTCTATGGTGTAGAGGAGTAAGTTGGAAGAATCCTAGGGGCGGCCAGACCATTATTATACACAAATATTGTTTCTTACACTAATTGTGATTATTTTTACGCTCTTAATTAGTTAGGTATTTAAAAGATAAAATATATTCTATGAGAAATATTTAAAACGACTTTTAGGAAGCGAAGTAAACTGTTAGGCAATCGGAGTGTAGTATTTATGATAAGGAGTTATGTGTACCATTGAAATACCCATGTACGATGGAGCATGGGCTGAATACGCTCTCTCTCTCTCTCACGAAGTGCTTTCAGATGACCACGTGTACATAGCGACTGCAAAGGAAGATCTAGCCACTGCTTTCTCATGGTACAAGTGTTGTTTGCGAAATTCAGACGATGAAAAGCAAATGTTCAGTGCTTAAATCGGGTTGGTGGGCACGATGGATCTACGTAGAGGAGTTGGCTAGATCATATGTAGAGGCAACCCTGTTATTTGTTACAATTAATTAAAAGAAAAGTTTCAAGATTTTACCATAGTTGTGGATAGTGACCTACGATGCCTTAGATACAGAGACTTTTCCTCATATACTAATTGACATTTATGAACACATCTAAATTTTTAATTAAATTAAACTTGTTCTGCCCTCGTACATAATGTCAGGTCTACAACCCTCAGTCCACGAGAACTAGGCATCTAGTCGCCAGATAAACGGAGGATGTATGTCGTCAGCTCTCCGTTTTGGCGAAGTGAGGTCGAGCAGATGTTTGATTTGGAAAAATATTGGAAACGAGGAAAAATCAATCTGTAATTAAAAGAGAAAACCAAGAACGATTTCACAACGATTGTTTGAGTGTTTTTATTATATTATGGAAAACAAATCAGGACATTGAGGCTAGATTATTCATAATGAAATATAATACAATTGTCCTATTGTAAGCAACAAATATATGCATGGACTAGACATAAATGAATCATATGTTTATTTTGAAGTTCTTCCATCAAATTTTCATTGCACTGCACGTCTTGGTCGTACGGCATATATATATATATATATATATTTATCAGATTTCAATCACAGAGACAATTCAGTTCTAAGAAAACAGTTGGGGAGAAATCTCTGGGATAAAAAGCTTTCAAGATT